ACAGAAGTTTTCTCAGACATTCAGGTACTTGATGGTTGATTTCTGACTTTTGGAGCTTAGAAATTTCATTTTTTGTAGTAAGGTTCTGAGATTAATCTGAAAATTTCAGGTTTACCCTTTTATTTTATCTCCAATGGCCCAAAAAGGATGAGGTTTTTGTTTTGTTTGTTTGTTTTATTTTGTTTTTTTTGGCTGTATCAAAATTTGTGTAGTTGGCAAAACTGCAGCGGAAACACTTTTTTCACATGTGATCAACAACCGGATGTTACTACTGCCAGAAACGGCAAAGAAGACAGGAAGTGGTTGGATTTTGACGGAGCTGCATGTTTTTAATGACTTATTGCGTGAAAAAACATATTCTCATGTGATTTTTAATTGCGTTTTTCAGTTAAAGGAATGAAATGACAAAATTGTTTGTTTATGTTATCGAAGTATACGAAGTTTACGAAGACGTCTACTAAAGTTGTTTACTAGTTTGTAGAGAAATTGATGGAAAATCTGATCGGAGAAAATCGGCACCATTTTCAGCTTCTAATCTTAGCTGTAATTTATCACCAGATTAAGTTGTTTAAAATGAAGTCTGCCTCATCTTCAGTGGCGTCTCCGTCTATCTGGAAACCAGAAGCTGGATAGTTTTACTGTCTGAGATCTGAGCAGATATATTATAGCTAAAGAGCTATAAAAGAAAAATTAATAAGACGGCATTCAAAATATTTAAAAATTGTTTTTCTATAACGACTATGTGTCGGACATCTTGCTCTCTCATTTCTACTCAGTCTGAAGCGACACTCAAATACCTAACATTTAGTCTATTTTCCTCAGAAAAGGGCTCATCTCTGAAAACGTTTGAATTTTTAAACTTCCAGGCGTGTGCTGGTTGACAGAAAATCAATTTCATCTGATTTATTGGAGCATTACTGTTTTTTTAAAGTTTCTGTTTTCTGACAGATTTGAATTACTGCGGCCGCCACCAGCCGTGCGTCAACGGAGGAACCTGCATGAACACCGAACCCAACCAGTACTACTGCGCCTGTCCGCTGGGCTACTCTGGAAAAAACTGTGAGATAGGCAAGTCGCTTTTTAAACAACTTTTAGTTCCAGTTTTGAAATTGTGCTTGATTTTATATAAAAATATTAATTTCAAAAGCTAACATAATAAAAAGGTCATTATTTGATTCTTGCGGTGTTTGAAGTTTTAGCTCTGGGATTGATTTTTCTGTGATATTTTTCTGCGATCAGCTGAGCATTCCTGCAGCTCAAACGGTGGGAGGTGCTTGGAAACTTTTGAAAGTGAAATTTCCAATTTTGTTTTTCTAGAAAATTTCTGAAATCCAAAATGACTTTTGTAGCAAATTTAACTTTTGAAGCTTAA